CGGGCGCGCGAGAGCAGGGTCTTTTCTCCAGAACAGGTGCCGCGTGACTCGCCGCCTGCCCCTCGCCTCACCCCGGGCCCCTGCTGCTGGATTGCGCCGGCGACCTCATCGCCGCGGCCACGTATCCAGAAGAGGCAGGGCAAGCCGGGGATCGACCCCAGGATCACTTTGAGGCAAAAAGTTTTCATGGTCCACGACCTCGCGGGACCTCCCTCCGAGGTTACTTCGCGGGCTTATCATTTACGTGGCGATCGGCGACTGGTGCGCCCTACTGCCGAACAGTTGGGGGAGTGCATGGCGTTGGAGCATGTCTGTCTCGTCGTCCGTGGGTGACTTGGGAAGAGGTTGAACGGCTTTCAGGTCACGTTGCGCATGTCAGTCTGCGTCGCAGGGGGGCGCTCTCGATGCGCGGTCACATGTATCGCTTGATCGCCGACAGCTACGAGTCCAGGAACAGGCTTTGGGGGGGCGTCACTCTGGAGAGTGGTTCATCGCGCGCATGCCACTATGCGTTGCTGGACTCGATCGCCCATGGCCCTCTTGCCAACGTCGACGGATGCTTGCCCCAGCAGTTGCGCCGTCTGCTCCAGGGGTGTCGACGCGGGGGGGGGGGTTGCTCGTGTGGGGCGGGTCAATTAGAGGAGTTGGCGTCGCGCTGCGCTGCCCGCTCGTCGCGCCGGGGCTCGTGCTCCATCGGCGCCGAACGTGCTTAGCGAACCCGAGCCCGCCCCCCACTCAAGTTTGAGGACCCGGCGGAGCGATTTGAAGCTAACGCCGACTTCGCCGAGATCCCGTCGTCGCTTTTTCGGCCCGAGGAGCGGCATTTAAACTGCGCCGCCGGTTTCGCCAGGTAGGAGGCCATCGCGGCGCAATGCGCTACATGGCACGTCCTATGACGTCTTCTTCGTTTCGTAATCTTCACCTCGGCGGCGTGCTTGGCCTCGCACTTGGGCACTTGCGCTCGAAAAGTGTCGAGCGGCCAGCCGCGGGCCCCTCTGATGCTGCCGCCGGCAATGTGCGCCCCCGCTGGCCTCGGGCTGCTCTGCCCATCATGGGCGGCATCCGTTCGAGCGGAATGCCTCCCGCTCGCTGGGGGCAGACGCGCCGTTTCGCGCGGCGCCCGCCATGGGCCTCGCGCCAGGCCCCTTCCCGGCAGACCAGGCATAGGAGACTGCCCCGCCCGCTGCTGAACTGGGCCCCGGGGAACTCGCGGAGTCTCTGTCCGAGCAAAGACGCCTCTACAAAGGATCGCGCAAGCGATGACATTGAGAGAACGTTTCAAGTATAGCTTGGAAGGCCACGCAGCTGTTCAAATCTAGAGAGAATCTGCGCACCGAAGTGCTTTAGCAATGCTGCAGAGTGCGAGTAGTTTCTTCGGCGTGTATCGGATAGGAGACGGAGCTCTGGCCTCTGGAGGCTCTAGTCTGACGCTCTCGATGGTGCTCGATCCATTTCTGTGACTGAGAGCTCCGCGGCTGCTCTAAATTCCGATCATGTCAATTTAGCCGCGCTCGCGAAACATATATTTGGAGTGTGCGATTAGTTTGTTGATCATAGCTCAAGTAGCATGCCGATCTGAGGCTTTCTGCGCCGATGTATCGACTGGTAAAGATGAGGGATCTGTAGCTGCTCTGAATCGCGAGATCGATTCTATAATGAAGCCGTGGGAAAATGCAGAGCACGAGTCGCCGTTCGGTCACAGTTCGATAAGCATGCCGATTTCAGGCTTCTCGCGGCTCAGGGGAATGATGCCGCCGTTACTGCTGAATCGACTGGCGCAAGGAGTCTTCTGCAGCTGTTATGAATCTCGAGATCGAGCCCCTCAACGAAGCGGTCGCAAACACCGTTCTCAGCCTTCTCGTGGCTCTAGATTTATGCCACCGATGTTGTTGAATCCATTGGTAAACAGAAAACCTCTGTGACTGCATTCGATATGTCGAGTAAGTCCATAAACCACATGGTTTTTTTCATAACAAGTTGCAGAGTGCGAGTAGTTGTTCGACCATAGCCCGAATTGCAGACCGATTCCAGGCGTGTCGAGGCGCTAGACCAATGCTCCTGATGTTGTTGAATCGACCGGTGTACATGAGAGCTCCGTAGTTGCTCTAAATCTCGACGGCAAGTCAACATATCAAACGGTTTCCAACAAACAGTTGCAGAGTACGGATCGTTGTTCGACCATAGCTCGAGTAACAGACCGATCTCAGGCTGCTCGGGGCTTTAGGCTGGTACTTGCCATGCTGCTGGACCTGGTGATATACGTAAAACCATTGCAACTGCTCTGAATCATGAGATTAAGCACCTAAACCAAGCGCGCGCAAAATCTGGTCTCAGGGCGAGTTGCCGCCTCATCAGTGTTCCCCCTTTAAATGTTCCGTTCGACCTGAGACTAAGATGGCGAGCAGAAGTGAGGTCTATATTGTCCGGAACGAATGTTCAAACCCCTTGCAACATTCTTCAAAAGCGGAAATGTCCAAAGTTTACCCGCCGAGACCTTCCGAGCCAATTGGCCCAGGAGCGATCTCGGATTCATTTTTGCTTCCGCTACTTTGCTACCTGGGGAGCTCTACGAGTCACGGCATCCAATGTGACCGCCCATGGCGACTGCGTGGCGGTCGATGCGACCGCCCATGGCGACTGCGTGGCGTCGACTACGGCACTCCTGATGCTCCCAGCGCACCTTCGGCCGTCAGGGGCACTTCGCCTTCGAGCCGGGGGCGTTTCTGCCCTTCGCCAACCTGCGCAGCGGGCGGCCCTGGACCACCACCTGGAGGAACGGAGGGCGCCGTCCAAGACGTTCGCCGCTAACGGGAGTGCCATGTTGGACCGCCCGCTGCGCCGGCGCGCAGCCGAGGCGGCGATGCTCGGGCTGGCCCTCTCTTCAGCGCGCCGATGAGCCAGTTCAGCGAGAAGTTCGAAGCCGCCCAGCGCCTGCGCGGCCTGGAGGGCAGACGCATCGGGCATCAGCCGCGGCGCGGAGGCCCCTCGAGCGACAGGCGCGACGGGCTGAGATCTGTTCTCGAGATAGAACAGCGAGGCCGCTGGGCGGCCGACAGTTCGGACCGCCGGCGCGACGCCGCCGCCTGGCTCCAGGGGCGCGAGGCCTTCCTGACCGACGAGCGGCGTAGACAGGGCCTGCGCGCACCCACGTCGCGGCAGGGGCTCCTCATGGCTCGGTTGACCCGCCTGCAGATGTCAAACGGCGGGGAGGCTATGCGATCGAGGTCTGCGCGGGCTCCAGGCACATGTCTCTGGCCCTCGCCAAGCGCGGGCGCGCCGCCTGCACGTTCGAGCTGGGCGACGACCAAGCACGATATGTTCTCCGCCTAAGCACCCTCCAGTGCCTCCTCAGCCTCACCCGGCACCCCGCGTGCAAGCTGGCGCGGCTGGGCACGTGCACCAGCTAGTTCAGAGCCGGGAGAAGTGGCGAGGGCCCTCCGGCCCCTCGCGACAGCGGGCCTGGTCTCCACGGGCCCCTGGGACTCAGCGCTGCAGACGTTGGGCGGGCGCTGCTGGGGAACAGGCCAAGGGTGGCGTCGGCCATCATCGCTCAGCGCGCCTCCGACCGCCACGTCCGCTGGGTCATCGAGAACCCTATGACGTCGTGGCTCGTGGCTTACACGTGAGATGTCTCGCGTGAGGGCCTGCGGAGCTGAATCAGTGGTTACCAGCTTTTGTCATTGCGGAGTGCCTTGGCCAAAGAATGCCACGCTTCTTCACGGTCGTTGCCGACAGCTATCATCTTGTTCGAAATGCCATGTAAAGCGTGGTCGTTGTCCTGCCTCCAACAGAAAACACGAGCAGCTGATTGGAAGCAAAGGCTTGGATAGATTTTGCGCACACGTCTTGCACGGCCCTACCCCCGCTGCTCTGTGTAGCCATAAGTGCCAGCTGCTCTTCCCAGGATAAGTCAAGGCCTGCGGCCAGGTCCAGAAGTCGGGATTTAGGATTTTCCTCTCAGCATTTGCGGGTCTTGCTCTCTGTATCGTATCGCAGTGCCGTGAGCTAGCGGATCTTAAACTGCCAGCGCAGCTGGCTCGCTGGCGAGACAAAGTATGTAGCGCGTGACATATCAAGTGCTTGCACGGGTTTGTCAGTGCAGAACGGGGGCTCGCCGTCGCACCAGTGTACAACTTTTGCGTTGGGCTCAAGTTTCTGTGATCCCCAAACCGACCCCACCTTCGCACTTGTTCACGCACATATTGTGTTCCTTTCAGCATGTGCCAGTCCTGCTCTCTGCATCGTATCGTTGTGCCCTGAGCTAGCGGATATTGAGCTGCCAGCGCGGCTGGCTCGTTGGCGAGACAAAGAATGTAGCGTGCTACATACATGTTCGGAGGTGTTCGCGGCTTTCTTGGATCGGCGTTAGGCCCCCCGCCTCACCTTGGCGCGTGAAACGTGTCAGGTGCGGCGCGAGAGGCGTAGCAACGGGGGATCAGCTCGCCCGTGGGAACTTCAACGTGTTTTTGGATGTATGTTTGTCTTTGTTACAAACGCATCCCACACGGCTGCTTCCATCCTCCGTCTTGCCTGTTTTTTGGGGCTCCACCGTGTTTGACATAGCTGAGCGGGTTTATCCGCCCCGTCCCCCCCCCCCACCCCGCACAGCTGCGCCTTGGGGCGGCAGATCGGACGTGCTTGCGCTTGTCGGTTCCTCGGAAGGATTCAGCGACGACCGCTATGTTTTTGAAAGATGTGCCCTGTGAGGACAACACGACGACACCACCTCGACAACGACGACCTTGACGACCACGACTACGGGGGCGACGACGAGGTCGACGAGGTGGTAGAGGACGGGGAAGATGAGGAGGATGTGGACGAGGACGAGGAGGAGGGACAAGGGTGGGAACAGGGGGAGGAGCGGGAGGAGGTGGGAGGCATGGGGAGCACGGGGTGGGATAGGCGGAGAAAAGGTCGAGGAGGCGGAGGAGGCCGAGGAGGTTAGGAAGGGGGGGAGGTTTGCCGCTCGCCGATCCACGGCTCCCCTTCGTGCCGCCCAGGCGGGCGACCTCGGGTCGCGGGTGGTGGACACGGGGTTGTCTGCTCAGGTGGCCCTACCCGTCCTTACCATTAGCCTCGCCGTCCTTTTCTTTTTTCCCCCTCCGCCTTCTCCATTCTCAGTCTTCCACCAGTATCCTCCTCCATCGACGGTGGGCCTTCGGGAGAGGTGCATCCTGATGCATGGTCGGAGGAGCCTCTTCTTATTTGTGCGTGTGCGCAGTGTGGCCCATACTTTTTAGTACTCGATGAAACAGTGATCCCTCTCTTTCCCCCTCTCTATCCAACCTCTTCCGTCACATTATCCGCAAGGGCTTCGCCCCCATGCCGCCGGCCCCCCTCTCTTAGAATGGGAGTTGCTAGAGCTGTGTTAGGATAACTGGGCGCTGGCGTGAAGCAGTGTCGGAACTTCACGCGAGGTCCAATATTGATTTACGAGGGGTGAAGGCCCATGGCTTCGGTTGCGCGAGTATAAGGTGATGTACAGTGGTTTATGGCTTCGGGGGCGCGACCACTGTATACTTTATTAAGGTTTGTGGCCTCGGGGACGCAAATGTTTATTTTGGACCCTGGCCCCGCCGATTTGCGCGAGGGGTGCCACCGAATTTCAGAAATGTGGCAAATCCTTTGTGGTTTGGACACTGGCCCCGCCGACTTGCGTGAGGGGTGCCACCGAATTTCAGAAATGTGACACATCCCCTATGTTTTTGGACCCTGACCCCGCCGATCTGCGTGAGGAGTGCCACCGAATTTCAGGAATGTGGCAAATCCCATATGTCTTTGGACCCTGACCCCGCCGATTTGCGTGAGGGGTGCCACCGAATTTCAGAAATGTGACACATCCCTTTTGTTTTTGGACCCTGACCCCGCCGATATGCGTGAGGGGTGCCACCGAATTTCAGAAATGTGACACATCCCTTTTGTTTTCGGACCCTGACCCCACCGATCTGCGTGAGGGGTGCCACCTAATTTCAGGAATGTGGCACATCCCATCTGTTTTTGGACCCTGACCCCTCCGATCTGCGTGAGGGGTGATACCGAATTTCAGAAATGTGACACATCCCTTTTGTTGTTGGACCCTGACCCCGCCGATCTGCGTGAGGGGTTCCATTGAAGTTCAAACATGTGGCACATCCCATGTGACTCTGCGGATCTGCGTGAGGGGTGTCAATTTGTACCCCAGGGCGTGGTAGTTCTGCTGGTTTGGGCTCCCCCCCCTCGCGCGTTCATCAACAAGGAACAGTAAGCAGCAAGAAGCAGAACTGTAACAGTGGAAACTGGAATCTGCAACTGGTACAGGGAGCAGCAGACTCCCGGCCTACAGCCTGGTGGCCCCGCAAGGGGGCCGGCGGATTCTCATCCTCGTCCACCTCGTCTGCTCTCCCTCTTCTCTCCTCCCTCTGTATGTCCCTTCTGATCCCTGCCCTCTCCCTGCGGATGAGCAGGACAAGAGAGGAAACATGAGGAAGCGGACGAACAGCAACAACGAACAGCAACAGCAGGAGTTGGAGAAGAATGAGCGGGTGGAGCAGGAGAGCCAGGGGAAGGTTGAGGAGAGGAAATTAGCGGAAGACAGCCATGAGGAAGAAATCGGATCTGGAAAAGTGGCCCCGCTGGGGCGAAAGGGCCTTCCCGAAGGATGGGAGCGGCGCGCCGATGCTAAAATGAGGCCGCGTTGCAGCAGCGGCAGCACCGTTTTGAGACACCGAAGGCGTTCCGATTTGGGGAAACGTCCTGGGACAGATCACACATTGAAGTCTGGTGTTGGATTAAGCAGTAGGTGCGGGGGACACGAGGGGGCGACCACGACGAAAAGGGACTCGGATCCAGAGCGGTGGCCTGCGATGGGGCGAGAACGCCGCTCTGAACGACGGGAGCAGCGCGCCGATCCGAGAATGAAGCCAGCGCTGCAGCGGGAATGTTTTGAACCACCGGCAACCATCGGACTTTGATTCAAACAACACATGACAAAGCAATCGGGCACAATTCCGTGTGTAAGACAGAATGCGCGGAGGCGGGTCGGCTTCTTTCCTCATGGAGTCAAGGGATAAGTAGACACATGGTGCAATTGCCAAATATACACACTCGCGCGATATCTCACATCCTACCCCGCCAATCCATATCTTCCCGTCGCGCTGTTTGTTTCTCAACCCGCCGACGCGTGCCATAGCGGGCGTGGAACCATCGTTCCCTCCTGAAGGCTGCCGTCCTCTCCCCCCCGACGATTGAAGTGGAGGCGGCCCTCCCCCCCCCGCGTACTGCTGCAGAGATACTGTATTGTTTGTTGTTTTCCCCTCTCGCCTCTCCCAAGGCTTCGCTTGCATACATATATATATATATATATATATGTAGATGTAGGAATACAAACGTGTCTGTTTCCATGTAGGAAGGAAGGGGGATTCGGGATGCAGATGCCGATGTTGATGATGGTGGTGATGATGATGGTGGTGGTGATGATGCTGATGATGGTGGTGGTGATGATGATGCTGATGATGATGCTGATGATGGTGATGATGATGATGATGATAATGGTGATGGTGATGATGATGATGATGATGGTGGTGGTGATGATGATGATGATGCTGATGAGAATGAGGATGAGGATGAGGATGAGGATGAGGATGCGGAGGAGGAGGAGGAGGAGGAGGAGGAGGAGGAGGAGGGGGAGGGAGGAGAGCGGACGGGGAGGTACTACGCAATTTCAGAGGGAAGAGAAAAGGGGGCAGGTCCACGGGACTTCCAGGCCCCCCCGCGCGCTCGCGCTGCGCGCGCACGAAGCACCCGCACACGTTGGCCAAAACCGCGCAGGGCGCGATCTGGCGGGTCCGAGGCCGTGCCGTGTTCGTGTTGCTGCTGTTGTCGCTTGCCCGCTGTGGTGGCTCGGCGGCGCGCCCATGGGGGAGGGAGCGAGGAGGGGCGGGCGGGCGCCGCGTGGGCGCTGGGCGCGGGGCGCTGCGCTGTGCCTTCCCCCCGTCGGAGGAGGAGAAGTTGCCAGTGCCGCTGCACCCTTCGTGGAAGCTCTGCCGTGGCCACGAGAGGCCTCCTGGAGGCCCCCGGAACGGCTCAAGTCGGGGCTCGGGCGACGGGGGTCAATGCAAGCGGCGGTCAGTCGGAGCGCCAGATCTTGCAGGATCTCGCAGGGCCAGGGTTGCCTTGACCCGGGCTTAGGTGCAAGATCCTTCAGGCTTTAGTCAGATCGTGCACAGCCTGACTGCCCCGGGTCTGGATTAACCCGGGTCAGCAGATCCGCGAATGGTTTGTCGACGTGTCTCCGAAAGGCTTCCTGGAGGCCCCCAGAGAGGTTCAAGATGTTCCTGAGACCTTCATCATGGCGGTTGTCACGACGCCAGGAGGTCTGGGACCCAAAACAGACCCGTCCCTCTTGCCCGCTCCTCCACCTGCCTCTCCGCTACCCTCGGGCGGGTGGCAATGGGGGCGTAACTGTCTGAATGGGGAGTGGAGAACAGGGCCCTAAAAGGTGCCTTTAGGGCTCCTTTTGGAGCCAGCACAGGCCCACGAGGGCTCCTTTTAGGGCCCCTCTCTGCACCAGCCATTCAGGTCACCCACCATTGCCGCCCGCCAGAGTGGAATGCCCGGGTCGCCACGGCCAGATTCGCCTGGGGATCTCTGTCAGAACGCACCCTGGGAGCAGAGGTCCGAGGAGTAGTAGCATTTGGATCCCCACTGGTTGCACGCGGTCGGCCTTCGAGGCCTTCTGAGCGGCGTCTGCCCCCGACCTCCGAGAGAGAAGCCCACGAACAAATATGTCGGGAGGTCGTCTATACCATTCCTTCTCCAGCACCTTCACGCCTATCTCTTTCCCGCCTTTCTTCTGCCCTCCCACAACATCGCAATGTGGGCGCAGCAGCTCACTGGCCGTCTCGATCCTCTGGGAATGGGCCAGGGTGCCCTCAGGAATTCGTGGGAGCCCCGGACGGCCTTCAGCGCACCTCCCGCGTGGCCCATAGTACGCCAGGGGCCTCAATTTGGCCAGGCAAGGGCAACCTACCCCAATATGCCTCGAAGATCGAGTGTAGATCGAGGTCCATGAACCCTCCTGGCGGGACCTCTGGCGCCGCCCTTGGCGATATTTGCGAGCCAGCAAATGGGGGGGGTTCAGCGCCGACCCAAGAAGTATGTGCGGACCCCCGCCGAAAGTTGATGTTTATGTTGCTGTGTTCTCTCTGGTAGAAAGTGTTGAGGTTATTGTGCGTCTTTGGCCCTTTCTGGACACCTCCGGGGACTCCCTGGCTGGCAGCGCATCCACCGTCCCGTTCACGAAGGACCATCGTGCGCTCCCGTTGGGACTAGCATACCTTCGTGGCCACGACACTGGCTGGCTCGATCCGATTCGATTCCGATATTCCGACGATCCCATGCCGCCCGACGCTTACATGGCATTATTGTGCATCTTGGCGCAGCCGATCCAATTAAATTTCGACTCCGTGCCGCTGCGGCCCGATCAGACGCGCGTTCCGTCCCCTTGGTTCCTCTTTTCGCTCCCCTCCTCGAATCCTCCCGTCGTCCTTTCTTTGCCTGCTTGAGGGCGCTGGTGTTTGCGAACTCTGTCGTTTCTCGACTCCTCGACCGCAGTTTTGTGGAGGGCATTTCGGCAATACCCCTGTCTGTCGCAGTCAGAAGTAATGCGACCCCACATGATAGTGGCTATGTGTTTTTGTGCGTTTCGTGCTTGCCCCGTCTGACTCATGAGGCATCGGCACTTCAGGTGGCAGTCCAGTCCCTCCTCGTCTCCTCCTCCTCCCTCCCGCACTCACTGTTTTACACCTGCAAGAGGTCTCCCCAATCCCCTGTTTGTTCCCCCCTCTTCCCTACCTCCTCCACCTTTATCCCTCCCCCTTCCTTCCTGCTCCCCTACTCCTGTCCTCTTCCGCTCCTCTCCTGCTGCCGGTGGCCTCCCGCCCCCGCCCGCAGGTGGCGGGCAGGATCAGCATGATCAGCTGCGGCGAGGAGAGCCCCCCCCCGTGAGCCTGCTGCGGCCGCTCGCAGCGCAGCGCGGCGCGCTTGTTCCCAGCATCGTCTAACCCGTCCCCATCCCCACCCCGAGCCCCACCATCTCACCACCTCAGTTGGGGATATTCCCTTTGAGTCCTGAGGAGAACAGCCCATACCTCCAGTAGGGAGGAAACATCGGCCAGGGGTGCCCAGGCCACGCCGGCGGGGATAGGGATCGGTGGAACGATGCCCAGCTCCTGCGCCCTCGAGCTCGGAGTTGAGGGCGGCACGCCGTTGCCGCCGCCGCTTCTGCTCGCCACGAAGGAAGGGGGTCCTGAGGGAAGGAAGCCCTGGAGATTCTGAGTCGTTTTCGGGCTCCCCGGGCCCCAGAGCCGTCAAACAGACCCAGACATGCGACGCCCTTCTTTCTAAAATGCGCGGTCCCCAGAATAGTCCTGACCCCTTCCCCAGGACTGGTCTCTCATACTAGGGTGAGAAGCCGGCGAGGGCCCAGCGGGGGCCTCTCAGAGGCCGAAAGCGAAGACATTTCCCGTCAAGTTTTTTGCACGTCATGGCGTTCCGCCGCCGTGCAGCGGCGCTGATCCACGCGCGGGACAGGCGCGGGGGCGCCGCGCCCGACATGGTGTCCAGGCACGTGGCAGCGCTTGCATAGGCGCACTATCGTGCTTGGGGCTGGTGGTCACTAGCATTCCCAGCAGGGTCGCGGATGTGGCAGACGCCCGCTTTCCTCTGGCTGGCCAGCCTCGCTGGGGCACAGCTTCGCCGGGACGACTTCTGCTTCTTCGGCTGCCCGCGCGTCGCGCCCGCGGATTTCCTCGGGAATGCGGCGTTCCTCGCGGAGGTCATGCGCGTCTGTCCGGGCGCGCTCAGCCATCCGCACCATTCGCCGCCCGACGGCAAAGTTTGGGACAGGGATGGGCGACGTCAGCCGGCGCGCCCTGAGCGCGGAGCCGCCGGGGGATCTCTGCGAGGCTATGGCTGCTGCGCATGGCGCGGGCGGACAGTGCCTCCCAGCGCCCCCAGTGCCAGTGCTCATCGCCCTGCAGGGGCAGGTCGACGCAGGCGCGCCCGACGCGCGGAAGCGGCGCCGCCAGCAGGAGAAGGACGAGGCCATTGGCTGCATGCGGTCGCCGGAGCTCTCCTTCAGCCACTCGCAGAGGGGGGTGGGGGGAGGGGGAAGGGCTTCTTAGAAGTTCTTAGAAGGCGCGGGCCTTATCTATAGATGTAAGGCCGGTGCCTTCTAAAAAGCAGCCTCCTAAGACGCCCTCCCCCCTCCCTCCACACCCTTGTGCGCACCGCCAACTCCTTACGGCAGGTGCCTGGGCGGCGCCGCGTCGGCGCGCGGCTGCGCTGCGCGTTGGGCCAGGTCTACGAGGTGCATCGCAAGGAGGTGCTCGCTGCGCTGGCCCGGCTTGGAGAACCCGGAGGGGAAGGCTTGCCGGACGAAGTCGCGGACGCGGCTTCGACAGTTGTGCGCGATGCCGTGGACCTCTTGCCCATCGCCGAGTCTGCAGACGACGGCTTGGGCGCTGCCCTGCACGAGGCGCTCGTCGCCGCCGCGGGGGACCCTGAGGTGCATGCCCCGATTCGGATCGAGCCCCACGCGCCGTTGGGCATCGTCGAGCCGATTTCCGGCGTGCGGAGCCTTCCCCCGCGCCCTGGAGGACGGAGCGGACCGCGCAGCTGAGCCGTACGCCGACCAGGTGATCCTGTCCGGTGGCGTCCGGACCTACGCGGGCTACGCGGGGAACCGCGCGGCCTCCGTTGCCGAGCTGCAGGCGACCTGCGAGGCATTGCGCGCCGCTGTGGGCGATCGCGCGCGGAGCCGGCGGGCCGCCCTCGTTGAGGACGGAGGCTCGCACGTCAAAGCCAGGCTCATTCACGACCTCAGCCAGTCGGGCGTCAACCGCAACATCCGCTTGTGCGGGCGGATCGTTCCCCCGAAGTTATCCGACGTGAGGGCCGCGCGGCGCCGTTTGAGCGCCCAGCAGCCGGGCGGCGAGGTCGAATTGATGGTTCTGCATTGTGAGAGCGCTTTCCAGGTGCTCGCTGATCGCCGCTTCGTCGCGGTGCAGGGTGCTGGCGGCTGCTTCGTTTACGAATGGGTTTTGTTCGAAGTCGTGAGCAGGCCGCTCTGCTGTGGGGGCGCCTCGCGGCACCCACCATGCGGATCAGCGCGTCGATCCTGAATCAGAGCGCTGCCAATTTGCAGTGCTACGTTGACGACCCGATCCTCGTGGCTTTGGGGTCCAAATGCCCGGGACCTCACTTTCGGCCGTGCGGTCCTGTTGGGCACCGTTCTCCGGCTGCGGCTGCAGGGGAAGAAGGGCAGGCGGGTTACACGATCGAGTGGATAGGCGCATCCATCGCGGCGGATTCGCCTGGCCACCGCGTCGTCATCACGCTCCCTGAGTCCGAGCGTGCCGAGTTGCAGCAGGCTGTGGACTAACTGGCTTGCATGCGGTGGGTGCCACTGCGCGACGTGCGCCGTCTTGCAGGCCAGGCGTCCTGGATCGCAGGCCTCCTCCCGCAGCTCCAGCCGTTCGTTCAGCAGCTCTGGGCCGGCCTATGCGCGGCGCCAGCTGGCAGGCGCGTTGGCCGGAGGCAGATTGCACGGGCGTTTACGTGTCTTCGGGCATTTGCGGCTGGCCTCATTGGTCCGTCTTCCCGCTCTCCGTCCTCCCGGGTCGTTGTGGCGGCGGACCCGATCCTCCATTTCGCTGAGGCATTTGATGCGTCGACCACAAGTGGAGGGGCATTGTTGTATGTTGCCCAGCACGCTGTGGTCCACCCGTTCTTTGCACGGCCGTACGCATACACCAGTGTGCTGTGGGACTGGTCTCACGCCGCTGCCGCGCGGGCGATGGTCGGCGACCCTGGCAGCCAGGCGCGCTGGCAGGCGTTCTGATTGTTTCCCTCGTTCCTGATGTGGTGGCCCATCATTTCGCACGTGCATGCTGGGGTCAGCTTTGTCGGCGATGCGCAGGGGGCTCTGCAAGGCGCTGTCCGGCTGGCCTCCAGGGGCCCGGTCATCAACACGCTAGTCAGAGATTGCCTTGCGCATCGCACGGGCGGGCGCGGACTTGGAGTCGTTCCACTTCTGGAGTGAGGCCAATGGGCTTGCTGATGACCTCAACCTCCTGGGCGATGGCGTCGTCCTCCCGCCCATCCTGAAGGACGCGCGGCGCTGCGCATTCACCCCGCCGGAGTTCCGTATCGCTGGGGGCGCGGCGCAGGTGAGCGGCGCGCGCTCGCGTGCTGGCCCGTCTAACGCGGACGAGGCAGCACTCCGGCCGCCGCAGACGGCGAACGCGCTGTGGGCATAGTATCGTTACCTGGGCCCCCGCAGATGCCCTGCGGGATGAGGGTGTGGACGGACGGACGCGGCCGCACCCACCGGGGCGCCCGGGGCGCCGCGGCGTCTCGGTGAAGCACATCTGCTTAGCGTGCCGTGCCCAGCTTGCTTCGCGCGCAGTGCGCTGGAGCGTGCCATGGCTGCGGGGAGCCCCCGCGATGATGGGCACCCGTGGGTGCCGGCCAGGGTTCGCAGGGGGGGGCCCACTTGAAAGCCACTCTGGAGTGGTGGCTGTGTGGCCGTTCGCCGCACGGTGGGCGGGCAGCATCCCCTTTCCTCCTCCTGCCATCCCTCCCCCTTTGCCTTGTTTATCGTTCACCCGGGTCAGGCGCCGTCTGCCCGAGTCCAAGGCAGTCGCCATCTGCCCGAGTCCAGGACAGTCGCCATCTGCCCGAGTCCAGGGCTATTGCTGTCGTCTTCCTCCCTCCCTGTGCCCTTGCCCCCCTCCGCTGCAGGAAAGAACGACGATCCGGAGCAAGTTGGCCGCCGTGTTCGGCAGGTACTTCACCCAGCTGGAGGCCTTCTTGGGGCAGCGGCGCCAGCCTGGGCCTCCGAGCAGCGTTTTTCCAGTGCTCTGCCTCTGAACATGTCATCAAAGTATGAACGAGGAGAAGGAGGAGGAGGAGGAGGAGGAGGAGGAAAAGGGGGAGAGGGGACTTGACGAGGATGATGATGAAGAGAAGCGTCATGATAATAATTACCCCAGTGCGACCCTACCTAGAAGTTGGAGCCCCTAGGAAAGCAGCATTAGTTGCTATGCCATGCCATGCTATGCTATGCTATGCTATGCTGCGCGATGCTATGCTATGCTATAATATGCTAAGCTACGCTATGTCATGCTGTGCTATGCTATGCTATGCTGCGCTACGCTATGCTATGCTATGCTATGCTGCGCTACGCTATGCTATGATAGGTTATGCTAAACTTGGCTATGTTATGTTGTGCTATGCTATGCTAATGCAGCGCTGCGCTATGCTAAGCTAAGCTAAGCTAAGCTAAGCTAACCCTCTAGGCAGAGCCTAGGTAGGGAATTACACCCATGCTAATGCTGTGCTATGCTGGGCTATGCTATGATATGCTGTGCTGCGCTATGCTATGCTACGCTATGCTATGCTCTGCTCTGCTATGCTAAAGCTCAGCGGCGCTAAGATGAAGGTAAGTTAAGCTAAGATAAACTGAGGTAAGATGAAGCTAAGCTAAGGTAAGGCTAAGATGAGATAAGCAACGCGAAGCTAAGGGAACGTCACTGGGGGAATCGCGGGGCGGATCCTGGGGGAACCGCCCGGGGCGCATTCCACTGCCCGGCCTTTTAAGCCTCAGAGTAAGAACCCTTCTAGGCAGAGCCTAGGTAGGGAATAATAATGACGGTGTTGATGCTGACGTTGGTGCTGGTGCTGGCGAGTATGCTGCTGATGATGATGGTTTCGCTGATGATGATACAGTGCTGATGCTGATGGCGGTGCTGATGATGCTGCTGCTGCTGATGCTGTTGATTGTGATGCTGATGCTGATGATGATTGTGGTGGTGATGATGAGGATGAGGAGGATTCTGATGACGATTATCATAATGATGATGAGCATGGTGGTGAGGTGGATAATGGGGATGCCGACTGTAATGGTGATGATGATGATGCTGATCATGGTGATGGTGATGCTGATTATGATGATGGTGGAGACGCTTATGAGGATTACGATTGTGCTGCTGATGATGCCGTTGTTGCTGTTGAGGATGAGGGCGACGATGACCAAGACCTTGATTGACGAATGATGTCTGATGGTTGGTCACTGAGGATCGATGGCTAGTGATGGTCAGTGGAGTAGTGATGATGAGGGTGAGGACGAGGAGGATCCAGCTGCTCCCGGGCAGTCCCACCGTCCGTGCCAGTGTGGAAGTCTGGGTGGCGGCCCGTCGAGGGCCGCGCAACAGGCCGCCGCGCGTGGCGCTCCTCGGCCACAGCCCAGGGACGCCACGCGTGGCCCTCCTCGTAACACGCGTGGCCCTTCTCGTGGCCCTTCTCGTAACACGCAGCCTCCTCGGCCGCCACGCGTGGCCCTTCTCGTGACACGCGACGTGCTCGCCCGCCCTGGCGCTGCACGGAGCGCGAAGCCGAGCTGGCCCCGGGCGCGCCTCCGGGGAGGGGGTGCTCCTGCGGCGGACCGGGCGCGCTGGCAGAGAGGAGCCTGCGTGCCGGCCCGAAGCCGGCCTTTTTCTCCCGGATGTTTCGCCTTTTCTGGGTGCCGATCTTTCTAGGTTTCGCGCAGCTTCTGGAGGCGCACCCCCAAGATTGCCATCGCCTCGTGTTTGCCAATGTCAGGGATAGGGAGGATCTCGAGGCTGGTTAAATCGGCCCCCCGCGGCCGCGCCCCACAGTGGTGGTGGGGCGCAGCAGCGCGCGTGCCTGCGAGGTGTGCCGCGCGCGGGGGCCCGCGGCTTCAGCTCCGCGGCGGGGTGCACCAGCTGCGGCCTCACCTCTCCTCCCACCGCCTCCCTCCCTGCTCCCCTCCCTGGTCCCGCACCCATTCTCCCCCCCCCTCCCCTCCTCCCAGTCTTCTATCCTTCATCCCCATGCCCCCGTCCTCGCTCCACAGGATGGGCTGCTCAGGAGGAGGAGGAGCGGAAGGAGGACCCGACGATGACCACCAGGACGACCACGGCGGCGGCGGCGGCGTCATCTCCGCCAGGCGCAGCACAGGGTGCTTGCCTCGGGTTCCCCCGCGGTCGTCAGCGTGGCCTGCACGTTGGAGGCGCCGCCCCCCTGCCCCCTGCCCGAGGGGCGCACAAACTAGCGGTCAGCGCCTCTTGGATCAGCTAGTCCCCTCTGTCGGACGCGGCTCTGGGAGCCAAGTGGAGCAGGTGCCCCTTTTCCGCCTTCCGCCGGCCAGGTCTTGGGGAGCCACGAAGCGGCTGGCTGGGGCGCGCGATGGGGCCTTGGCTGGCCCGGTCCAGAGCACGTCCCTGGCAGGGCGAGAATCAGGAGGAGAACAAACACACAGACACAAGTAGTCCCCGATTCCCCAGAAAGTATGGGAAAGTATGGGAAGTGGGGGGGAAGACAGAAACATAGGAAATATGGGAAAATATGAGCAGGCCTTTGATTTGTGTGTATTTACTTGTGTGTCCCAAGGCCCCTTCAGAGAAGCAAGAGTTCACGACTTCCCAGCGGTCCTCGATGTTTGGTTTCGGGGGACTGCCCTCGGGACCCGTGACAGTGAATTTCGGATCCAGGACGAAAGACTGACTGCCCCCCGGGGAAGTGACCGAGGCCCGCGTGGCCCGCGGGGAGAACAAGCTCACGTCGTCGGATGGTTGGGGAAGTGACCTCGGTGCCGCAGCTCACGGTATCTGCGCCTGTGTTTGGGTGAGTTGGTATATTTGAGGGTGGGCTGGGCAGCCAGCGGTGTGGAATTGGAGAAGTTCCTCCACCATCACCTCTCCGAGTCTTGAGAAGTCTTGAGGGGCTGCTAGTGCCAACGAGGCCCCCGCAGGGCCTTTCCCTATCGGGGGGGTCATCGCAGTCTCGCAGTCATGTGGCCGCCGCAGGGCCACGTTTCGAAAGAGTGAGGTGATGGCGAGGTGTCGACGGATAGTTTGGGCCCAATGTGTTGATTTGTTCATGGTTTTATTTCTGACCACCACATGTGCGCTTCGCGTTTCGAGTGTAGCTAAGTCACAGATGAGACAATTGGCCACCTTTGCTTCCGGGCCGTACATCTATGTCAAATTCTCCCATCTTCTCCACGGCGCGGATTGGCTCTACCATCGTAGGCAGGAGGTTGCAAGGCAGAGAACAAATGGCCAGGCACGTGGCAGTTTAAAGGGAAGCGTGGAGGAGTACGTATGGCATACTAATAAGTTGTCAGAGATGGTGCAATTAGGCTGGGCTGTGAGATAGTTCCGGTGACGAACAGTGGTGTGGTCTGCTTCCCCCCCTCCGTACCAGCGTCCCCCTCCCATTATCCCGTCAACTGTCTGGCATTATAGGCCAGTCCTTTGGCTACTCTAAACCTTGCTCGCCTTTTACCCAGGCACATGTGAGAAGGAGCCGTGGTAGCTTTAAAAGCGCGGTAGAGGACAAGTTGTGTTCGGTGCGTGCATTCGGCTGCCAGTCAGAATGGGGAGTAAATCGAACTATTCGGTTGCGTATCGCTCAAGTGACACCCCGTCCCACAAACATCCCACTCCACCTACTCAGGCTACGACACGGCTGGCACAGGCCACATTGTTGTAGAAGTTTCCTTCCTCCGCCTTCTGGCTCACGTGCAGCTGCTTGGAGAATGTTGAAGTCATGCAGCTTCATCTAGGATACGTGGACATCGCTGGAGTCGAGCAAACTGGAGGTTTCTCCCAAGTCGGATTTGATGTGTTCCCAGCTGGCCGACACGAAGTGGGTGGCGCGAGCTGTACGACTGTCGGGCTACCACATCAATACAAAGTCCCCGTCCAGTTTCTCAGGAGTTGATCTCGGCTGTGGCACGAGACTTCGTCGAGCGACTTGGGCAAAGAGGGATGCCAGTCACTCATCGATGAGACTGACAGGTGGAAGGCTCGCTGGGGCCGCCAAACGACATCGCGCCACGAGGCTCCGGGAGGCCTAGGGCCTAGGGGGCTCAGCCCGCTGGCGTCTGCGGCCATCACGTCCACGGAACGCTTTGCCAGAGGTTGGTGCAGGCGAGGTGCGGGCTGGGCTTGGCCCGCGCGGCACCCACGCGCGGGAGGCGTCTCATGACGCTTCTCGCGCTTCGTGCGCCGCGGCAGGACCGGGGGGCCGAGCTGCCTGCGCAGTGCCTAGACATTTGACATATGTTTTCCGGCGTGGCGTGATTTTCGTGCAGGGGTCCATCGTCTACAGCGAACGGTGGTCGAGCAAGTTCGAAGGGATACCCGTGGCTCATCGCACCAAGCATGTGCGGCGGTGTGGGCGTGCCAGCAGCTATCTGAAATTGTATTGAGGCAGGGTGGTCGGTGTCATCAGCTACGGGGTGGGTAGTCCCGTCATCACATGAGTTCGCATGCGATCATCTATGCAGGGATGCATGGGTGAAATTGATTGGCTCTCTTGCTGGATTTCTCAAGGATCTCTCGGGTTTGCTTCAGCTGCGGTACTGGAGACAGGCTAACCAACTCTACTGCGGAGAAGGTTCCAGGGCGGGACCGACGTGGAGTCATACCGCACACTGTTGCAGCGGTATCGCACCGTCATATCGACTGGTGCGGTGCCTCAAGGCGGGCATCGCCTGAGCGAAGTCATGCTTCGGTGGCGGTCGGAGGCACTTGGCCCAGGGCTCCCAGGAAAATTGAGCTGCCGAAGTTCGGTGTGTCAGGGCTGCGTCTTCTGTGCGGTTGAGCGCCAGGGACACGACTCCACGGTGTTGCCTTTGCAATTCGAATTGCGATATGGAGGCCGTCATTTGGTCCGACACAACACAATTACAAGCTGGAGTGGATTATTTGTTACGGGTCTTGTTTCCTGCGGTCTGGGTTTCTGTTCCGCCCCCCCCACCTCTAGTGGAAGGCGACGTGCAAGAGCCGCGGTCGCACTCTTTGATTCCTTTGAACCTTCGTTCGCCATTGCAGGATCCTCCAGCGGTCCTCTGAACGGGAACCGTCAAGAGGCTCCCCAGGGCGAGGTTTGTATGTTGTTATTTGCTTGGTGGGCGATTCCGGGGGTCATAGTTTACGCTGCAGAGTGCGAACCGATTGCCTCTGGGTGGCACGGGCGGAACTACAAGCAGTCTTCAGCACCCGATGCGGATTTGTGGGCTTAGCTCGGCCAGGTGTGCAGTAGCTCTGGAGTGCCCCCGATCTCTCTTGCGTTCCTGCTTCGAGGCGGCTCAGATAGTTTCCCAGGCGGCCCCTCGGTGGATGACAATTGGCAACCCAGTCGTCAATGCCATCGCGATTGCAGCGGCCGAAACGGCCCGTGTGCCCGAGTTTCAGCGTAATCAGGTGCTTCTCCATGAGAGGGGAGCGGAGCTAGTTGGACTCAGTATGTTGCGGCCGACGTCGGATGCAATGGAAGCAGATGTTGCCGTGGGCTTTGGTCAAGAAGCATCGTCACCTCGTGCCCCTCGTCCTCTCTCTGCTGCTGCTCTTTCCTTCTTTTCTACCCCCCACTCTGGACGGCTCGGGGTGGTGATGCACTTGTTGTGGAGGGTCGCCCACTGGGGCCGTTGCAATAAAACATATTGGCGTCGGAGCGAGCATTTCAAACCAGTTAATTGACGGGAGCCTGCCCATATGAGATCCACACTGCGCGATTGCGCAGAGTGGGTGGGTGGGCCAGTACAATGATTCAGTCTTGTAAGTCGTTCCAGTGTTGTGTTGACACAGTGCTTCTTGCCTGAACTCGGCAAGGGTGCCCGTCGTACACCCACGTTTCGAGCGGAACATCTTGTCAGGATTATTCGTGGAGTGTTGTTTGAGGTCGTGAGTGTTGCCGCGCGCGGGGTCTGGGCTCTGCCTTCCCAGTTTCAAATCTAGTGCGCCCACTAAAACCGAAATTCGCATCGGCCTGTCTTTCAAATTCGCCCAACACCCTCTCGTGCAAGAAACTCTTAATGAGTTTGGGGTGTGAGGTGGTGAGGTTCGAACTTGCGCCCTGATCTGTGATGGGATTAATGAAAACTACAGTGCCCCAGCTGATGCGTGAGATGGAACAGCAGGTTGCAGGCACGGGACAAGCATTGCTTCGCCACGTGGGGCCTGGAAGTAAAGACGACCGATGTCCACACCAAACTCAACTCAGTGAGCTTTGGGCACTCCTGTCGATCATTCAGATCACCTTGCGTTCATTCAGGCGTCTTCCTTCATCCAGGTGGTACATGGCCGTCATCTCCTGGAATCTTGGTGCTCAGGTCTTCTGGGGGGTTTGTCCGACTCAGTGCACTGTCGGTGTCTCTGGGCGCATTTGATTTGATGTTCCAACTTGTATGTTAGGTGCCCTCGCAGTATAATGGGCCAGTTGGGGCTTAACCGTTTTCGATGAACAGCTTCCACATGTTTGTTCATGCCAGATCACGTCTGGGCCGCCCCCCATCTGACTTCCGAAGCTGGGGAAGTCGGCGCTTATCGAGCCTCAAACGAGCGGGTGGTTCTTATGGTTGCCACATTGTAGGTAAGCAGTTCCTTTTCTGGCGAGCGTCGAGCAGACATCATCCACGCGTCACTACTCCAGGGTGTCCTTCAAGAGGGCACCCGGTTTAGAAACATGGCCACGATTCAAGGTTGTGTCGTGGACAGCCCAGATTAGTTTGATTTTTTTTGCAATGGAGGGAACGCCCGATGTTGGGATCATGTTTGTTGGTAAGAGTGGTGCAGTCGCGCACCCACAGCGTTCGCCTGCCGAACTCATCGAGCTTGTGACGCCACACAGGTTGCCAATCAAGTCTGCACGCTCGCGTAGACAGTGTTGTTGCTTGGCCGAAGCTCGACAGCTCAGGTGTCCTCTGGAGTCGTGGCTCCTTCTCCTGCGGCCACGAGTATGTTGATTTGCAGGATGTTTGGCCCTGGCGTAGGACGTGTTTGACGCTGCCAAGTTTGCTAGAACCGTGCCGCTCGTCGCGTACCCCCACAAGCCCAGTCAGAAACGTTGCCGATGCGAGCTGATCCAGAACTGATGCCTGTGCAAATTGCTTTGTTTTTAGGGAAGTGTAGAAACGTGCAGTGACATGTGCCCAAAGAGGTACGATATATAGAGGAGGAGGGGAGGAGGAGGAAGAGAAGGAGGAGGAGGACGAGGACGAGGGAACCGAACAGGATGACGAGCACGAGACCGAGTCGCGCAGGAGGCGGAGGAGGACGAGGGTGAGGAAGAGGACGACGAGCACGAGGAGGAGGACAAGGAGAAACGAGGAATAAACTCAGGCGAACGAGAACGATGTAGAGGAGGAGGAGGAGGAGGGGGAGGAGCAGGATGACGAGGACAACGAGTCGAACATCGGCAGCCATCGTGGGATCTGATTGACGCCTTTTTGGCGTCCTCTTGGGGCTGTCTCGGGGTCCTCTTCGGGCCGTCATTCGTGGATCTTGGGGCCCTCTTGGGGCTCTTCTGGGGTGCCTTGGGGCTCGCGTGTGGTCGTCTTGGGGGCTCTTGTGGGCATCTCTGGGCATCGATCAACGGAGGGGAGGTCGTAACGTTCCCCCCGCTCCTCTTTCTGGGCCCCCGAAATCGTACCTGTTGGCGCCGTCAAGGGGGCCTCTTGGGCCCCTCTTGGGGCTTCCTTGGGCCATCTTGGGGTCATCTTGCGGCACCTAAACGAATAATCGGAAGCGAAAGAGCGAGACGGCGAAGCTCATTGAGTTCCGTTGGGCTGGTCAGCGATGTTGACCTATTGGGGAGGTCCGTCCTGGAGCGGTCGTTCGGGGGCCTCCGAGAGGACTTGGCGCGGTGGAAACCATCTTGAGCCATCCTCGGTTATTTTGAGGCATCTTGGAGGCCATCTTGGAGCATCGGAGGCCCTCTTGGAGCCATCTTGGGCGAACACGGACCCTCCGACACCTCGCGGGACTTCCAACGCACAACACCTCCGCGACGGGAGGGTGAGGGCACCCTCCCCGAATGGAAGATGGGCTTTTCAAGGAAAAAGAGAAACATCATTAGACCACCTTCGCCCAGGGGCGTGGCGGGATTCAAGCGCCAGGGCGGCATCCTGTCCCAGATGGGCTGCTCTGGCAAACTGTCCGAGGTGGCGCTGTCTTTATCGAGCTGACGTGCTCAATTCCCACTCTGCTGTGCCTTCACACTCGCTGTGTCGGGTTTTCCCGCAGGGGGCAGTTTCAGACGCCATGTGCCACTCACATCCCCCGAGGCCCTCTCTAAGTACACGTTGTCGGTTCTTCGCCCTTTCGGAGGGGCAAGCTTCGAAGCGTCACTTGTTACTGGCACAATTTCCTATCAACCCTGGCGCTGCTGATCAGCACGACAGTCAACTAGATCTTGAAGCTGTGCTTGCTTCGCCAGTTTGGGCTGCAGTGGACAGGGCGGGGCCTGGGGGCAAACTCGAGCGAGTCACAGCTGCTTTGCGCAGGGAGGAGGAAGAGTTGGGAAGGCGTGGTGAAAGATATCCAGCTGTCTCCAGCAATTCCGCCACCGTGCCAGCGCAGCATTCTGGGTGGAACCCACTCGAGGGGGCAAGGGGGCCGTCTCGGAGCCCTCTGAAGACTCTTGGGCCGTCGGGCCGCTCGGGGACTTCTTGGGCCGTCTTGGGGCAGTCCTAGTGACCTTTTGGGTCGTTTCGGGATGTCAGACGCTCGAAAAGACGAGAACCCGAGAAACATCGAAGCACCACAGGAACATCTGCGATTTGTGTTTCTCGAGGCCCTCTTGGGAAGGCTCTTGGGGCGCCTCGTCGGCCTCGTGGGCCGTCTTGAAGCTATCTTGGGCCGTCTTGAGGTCAGCGTGGCCCGTCTTTGAGCGATATTATTTGTTTTGGGGGCATCTGGGCAGCGAGAGCACGAATCTGTTGTATCTTGCGAGGGGTCATGGTCTCGGGAAAAGGGGAGCGGTGGGCGCAGCGAAGGCTGGAAGAGCGGGGGGGGCCTTTCTCATGAAATGTCAGGCATCGAGCGGGTGGTAATGGGCACTTAATTTGGAGGTGAAGAAATGAGCCCCTTAAGGGCATTTCTCTCCCCCCCTTATTCAGGTCACCCCCCATTAGAACCACCCGCCCGAAAGAACCCGACCAGACAGACCCTGGCATTGTTCCACGCATTAACGTGGACATGGCACGGTGGTGTATCTTTCATGTTTCAGATGTCCCGGGCTGGCTTTCACCGGCAGGAACACAGTTCGGGCCACCTGTCGGTATAGATCCAGCCAGTCTGGTATCCTCCGCTCCCCGTGGCAGCTCATGGGCACCTTGCCGAGTCAAAGCGAACTCCTGCCCTCCTCCCCCCTCTCTCTCTCTTCCCCCCTCCGCCACTCCCCCGTTCGAGGACGATGTCGTCAATGACGACGCGTCGTCAGCAGCGACGCCGACGACGACGGCGAAGAGCAGGGCGACCGGTCCTAGCAAGACGACGTCGAACGCCAGTGCCAACGACGTCGGCGTCGACGGCGACGCTGCCGACGACGAGCGTCGGCGGCTGCGTCCACGACGTGGTCGGCGGCCCGGCGGGCGGCGGGCGGGCCTGGCAAGGCGCAGCAGCGCGCCGTGCGGCGGATCGGCGGGCAGCTGGCCGCGGAGGTCCAGCGCCGCGAGGCATCGCCGATGCTTGTCGTCGGCGTCGCCTTTCGTCGTCGGCTTTCGTCGTCGCCTTCGTCGTCACCTTCGTCGTTGTCGTCGTCATTTTCGTCGTTGACGTCGTCGTCGTCACCAATGTTCTCGTCGATGCCGTCGTCTTCGTCGACGACGTCGTCGCCCTCGTCTTCGTCGTTGTCGCCGATGGCGACGTCGTTGCCGCAACCGACGTCGTCGTCTTCGCCGTCGACGTCGACGTTGACGTTGGCGTCGACGTCGTCGCCTTTCGCGTCCTTGTCGCTGAAGCGGTGGGAGAGGGTCGCAGGTAGAGGAAGAAGGAGGGAGGAGCAGGATAAGAAGGAGGGAGGAGGGGTAGGAGTGAGTGCTGGACGAAGAGGAGGAGTAAGAGGTGGAACAGCAGGAGCAGCTGCAACCGAGTTAGGGAAAGCGCTGGGCTGACGAATGAACGAGAAGTACGGGAGAATGGGGAGGCGAGAGTGACGACGGGTGAAAATGCAATGACGGTCGTGGTCGGACGGATGGACGGATGGGCGGAAAGACATGCCCATGAGTAAAAGTAGGCGCCCAGACCTTGGCAAATTGGCAATTTGTGTTGTGTGTGTGTGCCTGTGAGTGTTGTATGTGCGCGTGCATAGCGACTGGTTCGCCTTGTTCCAAGAGGCGCGACAGTCATCATACAGTCAAGACGCTGAAATAAGGAACAGTTTGGGTAGGAAGGGGATCGATGTTCCTTAGGTTCCTCCAGTGCTGTTCCTCTTGCCCTCCTGGGGCACGGATGCGCTTACAGGACCAAGAAGGGGCGTCGTTCCTTATTTAGCGTTCCTTCTTTCAGCGGCCCGACTGTACGCGGTGCTGAATATCCTCGGATACGCAAGTTTGCAGCGTTCGCGGCTTATTGCATCCTGTCTCAGCCATCTTGTGCCCGAAGTTCTGCGAGCCCACGGTGGTCGTTACTGGGCTTTGCACTTTCGGCGAGCAACTTTGGCGGCTGCCTTGTGGTTCTCCCCGTTCGCGTGACCCCCCTGAGCCTTGACCCCCGCAGCATGGCCTCGAGAGCGCGGCGCGGCAGAAGCCGGCGAGGTGCGCGCTGCTCCCGTGCACGGGTGGCAGACGCCGCGGCCCGCCTCTTTGGTGCTGCGCTCTGGTGCAGCCTCGAGCTCGGCCCCCCCTGTCTCCAACTCGGATCCACAGTCTCTGGGCTCCCCGCTGCGGCCACCGACGCTCACGCGGCGGCTCTAGACATGCTTCGCCAGATCTTGCGGCACCCAGGGGTCTCGCGCGGCTGCTTCCTTTGTCTGCACTGCCGCTGGGCCGGGCTGGTTCGTCGTCTCGCTTCTTGCTCAGATCGCGTTGTCGTGTCCCGCTTCTCTCTGGGACCGCGTGGCCGCATCAGAACAGTCTGAGCGCGTCTGGGGAAGAGGTTCGGAGCAGGTGGACGGAAGAGAGGTGAAAGGCTGAGGAAGAGGCGGAGGGGTTCAAGTGTCCTGTAAGGGCATTAATTATACTGTTGGTGTACGGAAGGTTGGCGCGGGAATTTGCATTGTCGCGCGACATCTGCGTCACCCTTGCGCGACTTGTGCGCGATCTATCTCTGCGCACACCAGGACACGGTTTCGTCGGCAACGAGCAGCCGTTTGATGCAGAACGTGTCGCTTTGTTTGACACAAGCTCCTTGTCTTAGCTCCTTGCACGTTTGTTCAACGAGGTGTGCGTCCGCATTCCTCTGTCGCAGCTCCTTCGAATCAGCAGGAAACCTCTGTGGACGGTTCATGCAACATTTGCGTTCTCTGGAACGGCTCAGGCGCTGGTCACAGCAATCCCGATGAAACCGCGCGTCGTTCGAAAGTGTTTGACAGCGGGGGCCCCACCCGCCCCTGCTGAAGCATTTGCTAGCCCAAAAGATGTCTCAGTCGGTCCGCCGCGGCCCCCGCTGAACATGTGTTCCCCGCCTGGACGTTTTTCAGTTGGGCCCCGCCCCACAGTTTGCCATTGACGAGGTTTCTGGCGCCGCCCCCCCTCACAGCTGTTCCGCGCGCGACAGCCGACGCGTCGGGCGTGAGTTGGTGTGGCGAGGGAGTGGACCCAGGGGCGCGGATGATGGACCAAGAAAGATTGACGGGAGCAAGGGCTCTGAGGGTGCCCTTGTCTAGATGCAGCCATCGGCGGCCATGGACGGCGCCATGAGCCGTAGTATGCTGCCCTCCGCCGAACATGAGGAGAACGATGATGACCGGGAGCAGGAGGACGAGGACGAGGAAGACGCGTGTTCGTGTTGAGCCAAGGTGACTTGATGTGTAGGTACTTCGCATTGGAAACGCACAGTTTCTCATAACAAGTTTTCCGAAGTTGTTCAGTGGCCCGGTTTACCTTTCGAAACAGTTGTTCACTAGTTGTTCTGTGGCTCGATTCATCTCCCCAGAACTATGTCAACTCGCTTGTCAGAAGCCCGATGCATCTCCCCAACATGTCCTTTGCTTGCTTGGCCGATGTGGCTGCTAGCGATCCTGTACTGCCCCTGGGCGGCAGGCCGGGCCCGCCTGCTCGCGCAGTGGCGCGCGACGTGGCAAGGCAGCGACTGGCGGCTCGGCGTTGAGGAGCAGGTCTGGGAGCTCGCAGCGGAACTCGAGGCGGCAGACGCGCTATCCGAGGAGTTGGCCGGGGGAGCGCTGGACTGGTCAAAGGCGCACGGCACTGTCGACCTCCGCTCGCTCACGGGTGCGCTCAAGCGCGCCGGCGTCCCTGCCTGGGTCACCACGCCTGCGACGAACGTCGGCCAGCGAGTCGCAGGGTCGGGGTGGGCCAGGCGCTCGGCGACCCGTGGGTGCCCACACGCACACGCAGAGTGTAGCTGGGCTGCCCGCTGGTGGTGGTCATCCTGGCCTTGCTCACGTTCCCCTGGGTGCGGCGAGCTGGCGCGATCAGCGACAATCTCCGCCGTCGGCGACTTCACCAGGTTGCGGCAGGCCTCGGCGCCGAGGCGGCCGAGGACGTGCGGGTGGCGTTGCGCGTCACGGATGCCCCCGAGCAGGCGATCGACTGGCAGCTCAATCGCCGCAGAATCCGCCAATTCGCTGGCAGCCAGGCCTTGCGGCATTGGCTCGCGGCGCAGGCGCCCGGCATCGCGGCGCAGACGCCTGGCATAGAGGCCATGCCGGACATGTGTGTGTGTGTCTTTGCCGGCGCCGGCAGCGGCTGGGTGTACAGGCCGTGCTGCCCCGCGGCGCGCAGGGCCCGCTCGGGCTGCTGAAGCGCTTGTCGTTCGGTTTCGGCCAGCGCTGCTTGCCGGGGGCGGCGCCGGGCACGGCAGTTGGGCTGCACGGACGAGCCTGCGGCCGGACGCCTGCGAAGGAGCTCGCCGGTCTCCGCGCGGCTGTGCGCTGGGCGGCCTGCCTCGGGGACAAGCTTTCGCGTCGTCGCCGACATCGTTTTTAGTGCCCTCGCCCCGTCCTAGCGCCTGGGCCCACTGGCGGTGGCGACGATCGCGCCGCTGTGGCAGGCTGCGAAGTCTCTCCGCTGCGGCCGTTACCCCGCCGAGCGGTGGAGGCAGACCGCGGGGGCCCCCGCAGCGTGACGCGGTTGCGGTTCCTGGCCAGTCGTGGCCGCGCTGAAGAGCCTGGCTGTGCTGCGGTTGGGCCCCGACATGAGCGTTGGACTTGCGCGCCGTCCGCGCCGAGAGGCCTGCCCCCGCTCTGAAGCCGCTGCCGCGCACCCGAGCGGCGCTCCTGGAAGCCCGGTGCCAGTGAGAGGCCCAGCGGCTTGCGGGCATGCGAGCAGACTTCCAGCACGTCGACGCAGGCATCAACCGATGGGCCACGAGGCAGTTCTTGACAAGCGGCGCGCTGTCGACAAACGCCGCCGCAGCTTTGCGCGCAATGCTCGCGGTCAACGTGATCACCGAGTCCATTGCTGCGAAGTGGGGGCGCCCTGCCGGGTGCCTTCGCTGCGGGGCATCCGCGGAGGGCCTTGAACACTTCGCCCGCGATGCGAGCCAGATCGCCAGGCCGCGCCGCAGCCGGAATGCCTCGCCCGCGGGGCCGCCCGCGCCTGCCTGCCGCCAGGCCACGGAAGACTTCGGCAGGCCACCTTCGCGGAGGAGGCCTGGCTACCGGCGTCGTTGTCAGCTCTGCCGGGCCCGTGCGCGGGCCCTCAGGCAGCGCCGCCGAGCTGGCCGCGCGAGTGGGGGAACGGCTCCTGCGAGTACCCCAGAGACCCCCTCCTCGCCATCGACGCACCGGAATCCGACACCAACGCCAAGATTGCTTTGGAAACCAATGGTCCTGGCGAAGGACCCAACCATGCGCAGTTGTGAATGCCGCAGTTGTGAATACGTTGTACCCCGCAATTGCGGATAAGAGTGAGGGGGCGGGCGCGGGCGACGCGGGCGTCGAGCCGGCGAACCTCGCGGTCCTCACTTTCCTGATCGACGTACGTGAATCCGACGCCGATGATGCATGAGGGCCCAGCGACCCCCCCCGAGCATGGCAGCCAGATTTTAAAGAAGGCGGCCTCCTTCGTGCTATCGTGGCTGGAGGCCTATGGACGCCAGACAGGCTTCACCGCTGCGGATGCAGATCGGACTCATGCTGCCCGCGCTGTGGACAGGCTCAACATGACATCTACCACATCGCATGGCAGAGCCCATTCCTCGACGCGAGACGAACCAAATCCATGCGCGTTTTCGATCGGAGAGGGTCCCCCACCACGTCTCGAGACTCCTTGCCGCGGCCGCGCGGACTGGTCAGTCGCAGCTGTTTCCCCGCCATGCCGCCGAGGATAATGACACTCGGTGGACGGTGCATTGCGGTAATCCGCAGGGGATCTCTGGGCGCGCGCTCGCGGACGCGGCATTGGCTCGAGGCGGCCCGTGGGGGCTGGGGCTTCGCGAAGTTCCGCGGAGCGAGGCAGGGCGTCGACATCCTGGCGTCGGGGCCTCTGCCAGGCCCAATTCAGTCATCTCCTTGGGCCGAGCTTTTCGATTTCCTCCAGGTCCTCCAGGTGCA